TATGTATGAAACATTGAAAATAACCCGGGGACTATCAGACCTAAGAAATGCCCGTGCTTTGAATAGTGGATTGTTTTGTTAGGTAATATCTCTTTTCGGTGGTTTACTGTACTTATTTATATTAACGTTATTTTATCATTCCATGCCATATGACCACTGCAAACTTCTTCAAATAGTATATATGATATGGGGCAAATGTATCTAAACATTTCATACGACACACGTTTGTTCTTATATGTAAACAATTCATATATAAACAATTAATGTATTAACAATTGCTAACTTAGCATTCTTTTATAACATGGGTAAAGTTATTACTTTAATTAAATATTAACATCCATTACCACAAGGCAAGTCAATATGACAAGAAATTCTTCAAAGTCATTACAAAAAAATGTTAAATAAAACGGTTAAACTGAAAAAGTAAGCTTATAGAATTGTCTGAAAAAGACTAAAACCGCTCAATTAAATTATAAGAAAATTTATAAGGAGGAAATTACAGGAAGTCTGTTTGCATTAATTGTACGGAATAAGACATTGACTGGCCCTTAAGATCAATTCGTTGAATGTCACTTGAACTGACAATAGTATTTTAATAATTGGTGTTTTGTATTAAAATTTGACATAACAACCTTTTAAAAAAAACTATTGAACTAGCTCAAGACCTTTATATTACATTATGGACTAATTCCAAAATAAAGAAAAGAAGCAGGACTTAAGGCCATAAATAAGGTATTTGGTAATTCAACCAGAGACTTAGATTAGAAATGATTTCGACCGTGAACGCCAACTCTTTGAATTTAAATGAAATGTCCATATCTATGCTCTAAAGGGGCTTATCTGATTTTTACTTTCAACATCACCAATAACAAAATAAATAAGAGTAACAATTTTTTTTTCATCTTCGAATTACTTTGGCAAATTAAACATGGTTCATGAAAAATGAAAAAAGGTGTTCTAAATGAACGAATTTGAATAACGCATGTGATAACGTAATAATTAAACCAAGCTATAGTATAATTATATTTTTTTAATTCTGTATTATTTATTGTGATATTTATGAACTTATTTGATTGAAAGTTAAATACAAAGTCATATTGAATAAAACAATCATACAGCCTGATGTGCGTCTGAATTAATATCCAGATGTCCCCACCAGCATTGTTTTGATAAAACACAGAGCGATCACAAAATGCTAATTTAAAACACGAACATTGTACGCCTATTTTGTTCTTGGGGTAATAATATTTTGCACACAGTAAGCCGTTTGTCCGCCTGGATCCGGTTGTTAAAAACATTGGTTAGTGTTAACCAGTGGTTAAATTCATTATCCGCTGGTTAAATTTTGTCTGTTGGATAAATTCTGTTGCTCAAAACTTATCCAACGGATAAAATGCGTTATCCAGCGGTTAACTTTAACCAGTCCTATGACCACCGGATAATGCCCTTAACCAGTGGTTAGTCATCATCATTAAAACAGTAAAAATCATTAAAACTTGTTTAAAACCAGATTTTTCTTACAAATATATGTTTATTTTTCTTAACTAGAACATTTCATATGAAATGCATAGGATTAAATTGAAACATTTCTAAAAAAGTGCTTTTAGAACCCTTTTTCAATCTAAATTTGTTGTTGTTGTAGTTCAGAAAATTCAGTTAAACAGTCATAACTTTCTTATTTTTTAATAAAACATACAAGTGTCAGTACTCATTTTCTTAGTTAGAACATTACCCATCTAATGGAAGTAATTTCAATTCAAAATTGTAAAAAAAGTTGTTTTTGAATTTTTTCTTATGTGTGTCTTAGGGAAAAATAAATCTATCAATTCTTTAAGGCCTCTGATATACTTTTTGTTTAATTCCAAAAATATGAAAGCACAAAACATGCAAAACTATTTTTTGGGAGCTTTTTGATTCTAATAAATTTATTATTCATTAAAAAAAAAGCCATTTTGTTTCCAGAATCACTAACCAACCCTGTTGCATTGTGGTACTTAACCAGTGGATAAATACGCTATCCACTGGTTAGGTAGCCAGTGTACTATCCAACTATTGAACAATGGAATTTTATCCACTGGTTAGCTGGCCGCTGGTTAAGGATTTAGCCAGTGGATAAGCTATCCATTGGTTAATTTTAACAAATGTTTTGAACAACCCGGTCCAGATGGTTATTTCGTGGCCGCTTTTTTTACCAATGGAAATAATAAAAAACGGTATTTTATTCGGCAAATATAACCAAAACAGCATGATTTCCTGAAAAAACCGGCTTCTCAAACAATCAAACTTTAATTTAGAACATATCTTATGGTTTATTAGTTGTTTTAATTAACTCAAGATATTTTAGATTTAACATTATTAACGGTAAAACATTGCAATTCAACTGTGAATTAATTATTGTGATCCATTTTTTGTTTGTTTGATGATTGCACGGTTTGTGCATTATCACAACAATCGTTTCGGTAAAGTATTTTAAACTTATGTTCAGTTGAAATGTGATATCGTCATCAGACAAAAAAAATGTTTAATAATTGTTTACGCTTTAAATATCACAATTCCTTCGATAGTGTTTTTGTTCAGGAATGCATATTGAATTAAGATTGATTATTGCATATCTTATTTATGTCAATAAAACATTAAATAAATTTTATTTACACAAATTAAATGACCGACCGAAAAAAAAATACCCAAAATGTACTATTTGAAGAACGTAACTTATATCTATGAATAGAATATGAATATCACATAAGCTGTAAGCTAGGACTGTTAGCAGTAATTTGTTATAAAAATTAAACAGCAGAATACACATGTTAAGCAAAATGATTAAACACATTATTTGATCAATGTGTAATACTTGTCTGTTATCATTTATGCAAATTGAATAACCAACTTTAAAACCATAAAACTTATTGTAATACAACAGAGCAGAAATATGGCATTTTTATCGGCGTGCCAAATTTTACGTGTGTCTATAAAAGATGTCATGATGTGTTTGAATTACATTGTTGTATCCTACAACGACTCATAGGATAGTAAAAATGTTCTTTAAAACCTAACAGAAGAAGTATTTGGATTTAACCATAGGCGCGTAACCGGTTCACTAACGAGCACCGGCTCTCCATATAAAGATACCCATTACAATCAAACATAAAAATTCATCAGATGAATTAAATAACCCTTTTCAAAGTCCACATTTAAATTGGAAATAAGAAGATATATTTGTAATATTTTAATCATAGATATAATAATATGCTAGAATATAAACTGTAAAACGATATGTTGAAAGGTTGCATTTTTATTTATACACGCCGCACAATCATATCCCGGACTCTTTCTTTCTGTCTGTCTTGTAACGCTATGTTGAATATTGTCTTTTATCAATTTGAAATACGAGCATTTAACTGAAAACATTTTTTTCCCTGTAATATTAAAATTAATAAGATATGATCTTAAATGTGTCTCGAAATATATATAAAAAGATCTAAATTATTGACTACGGCCTCTGTTAGAGAGTGCACTAATATTCAATTTAAGAATACTATAAATCATGCATGTGCGTTTTCTGTTCTAAATTTTTGTTATTATTTGCGTTTGTGGTTATATACATATAATATCTAACTTTAACCAAAACTACCAATGAAATATATATCAATTGAGAAAATAAAGTATTGTTTTATTTGTTCACACACGTTTAAATATCCATTGCCTACCTTCCGGGCACAATTATGTCTGTTATGATGATTTAAACCATTTTAATGTGACAAATGTCTTAAATCAATACATAACTATATTGTTTAAGTCAGACGTGCAAAGCGTTTTTGTAGTCTGTATGGGATATCATTTTGTGACTGACGGGCTTCTTTTTAATAAGTTATGACAACCTGTTGTACTTAAATTAATTTGATAGTGTGTCAACAGCTCTGAGGACAGAGATAAACAAGATAAGACATTCAATGAACCAACAAAACACATTTTTTATGCAAGGGTCGTTCGTTTTTTGTGAGACAACATTATATTTTAAACAAGAACTTTTATTTTTGAATAAGTAATGTATAATAATTACATTGTAACAAATCTGGTTTAATGATCAATACATTAGGCTCCTGGGTCGTCATGATCATTAACGTCGGCACTGTTAATGTCATGCTTGTAAATAGAGCATTGTTTTTGAGGAGAAACACATTCTTATATAGGTTTTTTCTAGGTTTTTTTAAAAAGATTTTTTTTACGTTTGTACTATAAACATTACAGGAAAAGCAATGACCCCCGGAGCGGGGCCAATTTCAATCCAAGAGATTTTATTTGAACAATCGTGGTAGACACCCATTATAAGATGTTTCATGCTAAATATCTAAGCTCTAGCCTGTTTGATTTTTCAAAAGAAGTTTTAATGTTATTTTACATTTGTAACAATCTCGGTAAGCGCCTTTTTAGTTCATTTGTACATTTTACCGAATGATATTTGCTTGTCATATTTTGTTCAACCTAATGCAAGAATAAACTTGTATTGAACAAAATCAATTCATGTACCTTTTTGACAGTCAAAACCGGTATAGACATTTTTACATAGAAACGAAAACAATAACGATATCAGTATTCAGCTTCATTAGTTAGTTTAGTCTAAATGATTACCTTCACGTTCAGAATAGCTGATTTTAAGAAATAACCGGTCAAAGGGGAAGTTAAGTCCTTAACTTAAACATTTATATTCAACAACAAACATTAACCGAATATCCAACATAAAGTTATAACATTTTCCAAATACGTGTATATATCATCTACCGTTGAAATAACCACCAATAATTGATCTGAGCAATTTAATATTGTTTTGAACAATTCATCTGTCACGAGTTATGTTTTAAGTATATCCAAAAATAATCTTGAAAGCATTGTACTGTTTTGTGTGTTTATAAATCATTTGTCAAATATTTCAAGATATTTGTATCTTTATTTTTAACAGATGATGCTATAAGAAAGAGTTGACAAAACAAGGGGGAACGAAAATGTCACATAAGCCAGAAAACCGTATCAATCTATTTCGTTTACAAATACTCATTATAGATGGAGGCCTCCTTGTTTTGAGAAGTTTAATTGACCAGACCCTGACTGCTCAAGGCATAACTCTTAGTGCATGTTTGAATCAAGGAAAGCCAACAATTACACATTTGAAAAACAAAGGCGTTATAACACAGGAACAATACGACATATTGTTCCCAACAGATGGTCATGTCCCAACAACGTCAGAAATGGACTTAACGCTGATATTCATTTTTCTTCTAAGATGCTTGAGGTGTTTTGGACTGAATAGGAATTTCGACTGGAAGGCTTCACTTATATCAACCGATGTATCAATTGAGGCAGATATATGTCGGTTAAAAGCTCATCGAAATGATGTAAGTACGCTATGAAAAAGTAATTAATATATATAGCGTTCCGTGTAACAGAAGAACGACATACTTTCTCTTGAACACAAGTCAAATGATGTAAAAGTTATAACTATTTCTCGTCAGATCAAAAGTGTTTTGCTATAAGCAGTTTTAACGTTTTTAATTGAACAGAAATGCATTCACAAGAAATTAAACGTTCTTTTGCACAATTGTGTCATTTGTAATTTCCATTGTTTTATTCCAATATATATCCACGTATTGTATGCTTATGTTGAATGTCTGTTATATGACAGGCTTGCACTAAAGGTGTTATAGAAGTGAAATTGTCCATAATTTCTGTCCCAGCGATAGCTGAAATACCAACCAACTAAAGTTCGTACATCACTTCAATAATAACAGTATAATTTTCCATTGGCAGGTCATGTTTGAAACCGTCAATGTCTTCCAAACAAAGGAGCTTATGTGGGTATTTTCACTTAAACACTGGTACTTTTAATTATTATTTCAGATTAGCCATAAAACACAGACAACAGATATAGAAGCACATGACTTTGTAACATTGTGGAAGGACATAGAGCAGGTAATAACATAGGTTTGCAACAACTGATCATGACCTCGCTGAACAATTGTCATAGAGATAAATAGACGGTTATACGAGTACTAGATGCATTTCAAATAATAAAATCGTCTCTGTTTACATTTCAAGTACATCTTTAATTAAACTATATGAAACTGCATAAAGCTATATTATGTTCGAAAATGATTTTCAGTAAGAATTTCTTAGAGTTCAATTGATAAAAGTATTTTAATCAAAGATGACTATATATTTAAGGTGGTAGGATCTTCATAGAAAAATTAGCTTTTTTTTCAAGGGCAAAGTAGGGAAAACTGTTTAGTATGATTGAAGAAAATCATGATTGAAACAAATGAATAAAATGTTGGTCAAGATTCTCCAAGTAACTCTAAGTATTTTTTTTGAAATGGTTGTTTTCAAGCATAGCCTAGCAAAACATAATTAATTTCAGTTTGTTTGTTTATTTATTTACCCCTTCAAAAAAGTGGGGGTATGTTGCTTTGCATTTTTCTGTCGGTCGGTCCGTGGGTCTGTCGGTTTATAGACATATGTTTCCCGAGTGATAACTAGAGAACGCTTAGGCTCAGGATGTCCAGTAGATAAAACCTGTTGATATGGGGGTCGAGGTGTCCAAGATCAAGGTCACATTGACTTTGTAGGTTTAAACGGTTTCCGATCAATAACTAAAGAATGCTTAGCCTTGAAATTTCAAACTTGGAATGGTGATTGCTCATAAACAGAGATGGCCTCTTTTGATTTAGGGGTAAAGAGGTCAATGGTCAAGGTCACATTGACCTTGTAGGTTAAAACGGTTTCCGAATCAATACTGGTTGCTCATTTATAACTTAAAGTGGATACAAATAGATGTTACAAAAGCCATGCTCAACTTCTTAAAACAGTTAAAAGAATAAATGTTTTAACTGAAAATGCTTAGTATTTTTTTATAAATATGGCCACATGTTCGTTAATATGGTGCATCTGTATATAATTTTATGTCTATAAAATCACCGTGCGTATTGAATACATGGACAATATGTTTTTTATTTTTATAATTCATTTTCTTCATTCATTTTATTCCGTCTTTTATGACTTAACATTAACATGAATAAGTTAACAAACACCAAAGCTAAATTTGAGGATGCATGCATTAAAAACATCGTAGTTGATATTTCCTGTTTAATTTCCTTCTCAGATTCTTGTCCGACTTAGCTCTCCAGCTCTGAATATTCAGCAAACAATTGACGATTTCAAAACCTGCCCTCTAGATCCAGAGGAAGAGAAAAGGGTTCAAGAAGAAATACAAAAATGGAAAGACTATGAGGCTGATGTTGATCGGTTGAAAGAAGAAATGACAAATGTAAAAGAGAGGGTCACTGAAGTGGAGAAAACCCAAGAGGAGATCAAAACACGACTAGAAGAAGGTTTCTTCTTTGATATTTTTTCATATTACGACGCGGTCCATTGCTTTGAAAAATATACCTGGTGTAGTTATTTTCTCGGACGTAGAGCAAAAGATAATTGCACTACTGTTAATCACCTTTCTTTAAAACAAAAATCAATATTTTTCAATACCGTTTGGAGAAATATAAATATGTGAATGGAATATAATGCAATGTTTCGAAAATTACAATTTAGTTTCATACGACTTTAAAAAGATATAAAATTTAGAAAATAATCAGGATATATAGTGATAAAATATGTATCTATTTGATAACAGAGAAAAGAAACGAAGTCGTCTCTTTTATGCAGACAGAGGAGGGAAAATATCAAAATCGCAAGAAGGGTAAGTAAATGTCAGTTTATGTATATATGTATTTATTTTCAGGTTGGTCAATATATATATAGGATATTCAAGTTTTTTTTATATTAATACAGGATTTATTTTCATCGAGTGGTATGAAAACAAATATTTTAAGAGTTGCAGTGTTCACTTGTGAAATATGATTATTTCCATATTGCAAGATGTAATTAATCTTGTATTTAGTAGAATGAATTTTGAAATATACAGTTTTCCTTTTTTTACATTACAATTTAAAAGACTTTCCCTAGAATATTATATATTAGAAAAAAGTCCGACGAGACACCAATGAAAATACGGAAAATATCTTTCACTGCAGGGGATAATATTTTTTACAGTGAAAATAGGGAAAACAAAATAAGCATGGTATTTCATCAATATTTCTTAATATTCCCTTTATAAGACACTAATAAGTCAATTAATTTAGGTTTGGAATTTAAACATTTTGCAATAATAAAATGTCGAAAATGGAGAAGCTTTATATGAAAAACTGTAAATGAAATCTGAACGGTCTATTGTAATTTATTTTGAGATATGAATATGTCAATTTCAATGAACCTTATGCAATAGCCTTTGCCAGGCAGTTGGACGTAGTTGGACGTGGTATTAATAAAATCTGATTGCAAGTGGGCCATGACGATATTTGTAACTATTGACTGCAAGTTGGTTATGACGGTATTTATAACCTCTGACTGCAAGTTAGTCACGATGGTGTTTATAAACAATGACTGGACTGCAAGTTGGTCACGATGGTAAAAATAAACTATGACAGCAAATTGGTCATGACAGTATTTATAACCTCTGACTGCAAGTTGGTCATGGCAGTATTTACAACCTCTGACTGCAAGTTAGTCACGACGGTATTTATAACCTCTGACTGCAAGTTGGTCAGGATGGTAATTATAAACTATGACAGCAAGTTGGTCATGACAGTATTTATAGACTATGACTGCGAGTTGGTCACGCCAGTATTTATAACCTCTGACTGCAAGTTGGTCATGACAGTATTTATAGACTATGACTTCAAGTTGGTCACGACGGTATTTATAACATCTGACTGCAAGTTGGTCACGATGGTATTTATAAACTATGAAAAGCAAGTTGGTCATGACAGTATTTATAGACTATGACTGCAAGTTGGTCACGACGGTATTTATAACCTCTGACTGCAAGTTGGTTACGATGGTATTTATAACCTCCGACTACAAGTTGGTCATGACAGTATTTTCAAACTATGACTGCAAGTTTGTCACGACGGTATTTAATTCCTCTGACTGCAAGTTGGTCACGGCAGTATTTAATTCCTCTGACTGCAAATTAGTCACGATGGTATTTATAACCTCTGACTGCAAGTTGGACTTGACAGTATATATAACCTCTGACTGCAAGTTGTTCACGATGGTATTTATAACCTCTGACTGCAAGTTGGTCATGACAATATTTATAAACTATGACTGCAAGTTGGTCACGACGGTATATATTACCTCTGACTGCAAGTTAGTCACGATGGTAATTATAAACTATGATAGAAAGTTGGTCATGACAATATTTATCAACTAAGACTGCAAGTTGATCACGACGGTACAGTGTAACTTCCGAATTCCGGAACTTCTGAAATCCGGAAACTTCTAAAAACCGAACAATTTTTTCAGTCCCGATTTTTTCCCTTCTATTTTCTATTAATATAATACTTCTGAATTCCGGAACTTCTAAATTCTGAATTCCGGACGATATTTTCGTAAAATTAGAGTCAAATCAATGCAATTTTACCTCCAAAAACCGGAAATATCCAAAGGTGTGAAATACATTGTAAACCCTGCAGGAAGATTTAATCTCCCTATCGATTGTTTACTAATTAGCGGTGATCGTGTAATTTGACACGCGTTAAAAATCACAAACTGTGAAATGGTATGTTTGAAGTGATGCGGTTAATCAAAGTAATTTACGGCGGTCAGTTAATTTGAAGTGTTTATTGGCGGATTATATGACAATTAATTGGACAATGTATGCATCAAAAGTCTTTAGGGATTTTATTGCATTTGATGTAATAATTAATTAACTAGCATCGGACGATATGTAAGTTTATGCAATTAACAACATTTCTTCAAACTGATAGAAATTCAAAAGCATTTGCAAGTAAGATAAAAATGTATTCTTTTCATTCACATCTTTATCTTGATTAAAAGACTATTATATATGATATTACAGTAAAGGCCACTTCTTCCTTGAAATTTAGTGATATTAAGTGGCTTAGTCTTGTCCGCATTATCATAAACCTCTGAATTCCGGAAACCTCTGAAATCCGAATTTTTTGACAAGTCCCATGGGTGTTCGGTTTTCGGAAGTTACACCGTATTTATTTCCTCTGACTGCAAGTTGGTCACGATGGTATTTATTACCTCTGACTGCAAGTTGGTCACGACGGTATTTAATTCTTCTGACTGCATGTTGGTCACGACGGTATTTATTTCCCCTGACTGCATATTGGGCACGATGGTATTAATAACCTCTGACTGCAAGTTGGACTTGACAGTATTTATAACCTCTAGCAGCAAGTAGCCGTAGCAGCAGAAACAATATAAACAAAATCTTAAATTTGTACAATTAGTAGGTTTGTGACACTTAATATCTTTGGGTGGGCGATTTTCAGGTGTATATATAGTGGATATTTGTTTCGAGTAGATATGAAATATTGTCACCAAAAAGTGAATATATATATATAATATATATATATATATATATATATATCACTTTTTGGTATATATATAGAAGAAAAATTGAGAATGACATATTTAGTCTAAGACATTATGTTGACATTTTGCCAAGAGGCAAACAATGTTTTGACTGCAAGAATTTTATGACCGGAACTCAGCATTGGTCCAGACTCTTATAACAAGAGTAGTATAGGGGCCTGTTTGGCGCCACGACTGCGCATGCGCGGCGCCATATTGGATTCTATATTTAGAATAACATCATCGTTTTATTCTTAGAATGACATCATCCTTCTATTTTTAGAATGTTATCACCCGTCTATTTTTAGAAATCTATTTTTAATCACCTTGATGTATACGGAGCTGACTCGTATACACGATCAAGGGTTTCAATCGAGGACATTGTAGGTCAGGTCCTCGGCCCAAGACGGAGAGATACTTATCTTCATCACAGATAAAATAAATGTCTGTAAATAGATACGTGCTTAACATTTGAATTTATAAAAGAGTTAAATAAAAAAAATACAAATAGTTTTTTAATATGTTCAAAATAAATAATATTTATACATTTAATATCTATAAAATATAACTTGTTTACTCTTCAACATCTAATAAGGAAATGACTGTAATGGCGTAGCGTCCTTATAGACTGTGCATGTGCCGATCTATTTTTAGTCGCGGTATTTCACAATCACCAGGAGCTATTTCATCAGCCCCACGCAGGTGTCAATGAAAGAAAAAGCATTAGGCATTAAGTACAGTCGCCGCTTAGTCTAGGCTTATAATACCTAGCGGACCTATGTTGAACAAAAACCCTTTGACCTTCGTTACTAAATATAGCTTTTCATTATTGACCAACACAAAAGATGAAAATAATTAATTATCCTTTCAAATGCAGCGACCGTCAAGTACCTGCGTCGCTCAGTCTAGATTCACAATACCTAGCGGAACTATTTTGAACAAAAACCCTTTATCCTTCGTTAAAAAGGTCATTAAATGGCATTGAGACATAAATGGTTTACCTCATGCGTGTCGGACAAAGTAATCAAATCGCATTCATGAAACAACATTTGAAAAGTAGTTAAAAAGCCAGTACAGCAGTTAGGCGTGATAATTACATTTTTGTACATGGATGGAAAGATATAAGATTTTTTTCTCAGCAAAACATGTGTAAAATTTTAACAGAAAAATGCGTTTCGTCTTTTGATTTTTTTCGCATCAAATGATAGACCTGCCAGAATGCTTCGAAATAAACCCTAGGTTCTCGATTCGATTTTCATCCATTCTCGAGTTATGGCCCTTTAGCGGTTTTTAAACCATTTTTTAAGTCCATAAAACCCTTAGATTTATATACCGTTTGAAAGATCTCTGCGAGTAGATACAGAAAATGTATTATTATATGGATCTATCTCTTACCGTTTCTAAGATAGGAGAGTTTGAATATGGTTGACAAAATCACTCATGCATAAAATGATGATTATCCACTTATTTCTAGACATAATACGGGCATGTTGCATATCGAACGACAGGTCTTGACAAATGCTACAAGCTCGAACTAACAAACCGGAAGTGAAATCACTCATTCGTAAAATTATTAAAATAACTAAATTAAGCTTACCACTAGTCTTTACTCCTCGCCTATCAAACTATTTATGACAAGTCACTATAGCCTATCGTTAAACGGTCCAGTTACGACAGGTTTAAACCGGAAATTTTGATCAGCCGATGAAATTGAAGAACGATGACGTCTAAAAATAGACAGCCTCGTTTTGAACCCACTCTCAACCAATCAAAATGGAGAACGATGACGTTCTTACCAGAAATAGACATGACTTGCCCAGTGGAGAGTATATAAGAGAGCGCTCTAGCCCCCTTCCTCATTCTGACTTCTGAACTCTAACCGACAACATGGAAAACATAGCAGCTACTTTTGAAATAATGGTGAATTCTTTCACAGACGCCGATGAACTGATGAATTTTGCGGCGACGTGGGGGATACAGGGTGCGGTTCCAACTATTTCAGTTAAGGAACCCACAAAATGGAGAGAACTTCGTAAATGAACAAATGGAAAAATTATTCGACAGTTTAGACGACACAATGCAGAACTGAGAAGATGTTAACCTGGAAGATTTAGATTTGGCGCTAGAGTATGTAAGAAAACAAGAGGAAATCAAGGTTGCAGTAAGAGCACTATTATTTGACGAAGAAATGGATAAGATACAAACTAAAAGGAAAAAATAATTCATTAAATTTTAAAACCTCAATAGTGACCA